GGCCTGGGGGAGCGATTCAATAAATGTTAACATAACATCTTGTGAGACTCGACGTTGTTTGGTCTCGAAGGAAAACAGCGTTGCCAGTGCCTCCTCAACGTCAGTCGAGGATTGGAGAAGTATTTCCAGTGCTTTCTCCAGCCCACGCTTGCCCTGCACTAAGTGATCGTGCAACGTCTTGGTCAACTCACTAGATGCCATTTTCTTGGTTGCTGCTCTTCGAAGTTCAATGCTGGTTGCAAATTGCGTGATGATGCATATATTTTCCACGACTCTTATCCCACTGTGTCAACAACAACCAATCTTCACGTTGCATCTGTAAACGATAGATAAAATATCACGTCGATGGTTTGTGACCAATGATTACTGACCACCACCAAACGAGTGATTCAAAAATTCTGCGGGTTAAACCAGAAAGGAGACAAGTTACATTTTGTCTGCTTCATATTTGTATTAACAAGCGTAAACGATGGTTGCATCTCTCTATAAGCTACCACAGCATCAGCAGCGTGGCGGGAATGATACATGTAGCAGCGAGCAGCAAGGAAGTAGTGGAAATACTTGTCCTCGTGGAGGCAGACGTGTCGGAGTCACCCATGGAAATGTCCACTTCGCTGTCTTCACCTCCGTCTGGGCTGTTCTTGCTTGCTTCAGCTTCTGCCTCTGCTTCTGCCTTAGCCTCTGCATCTGCTCTCACGAGTTCACAGTCGAGTGACGCCCAGTGTGAATCGTCCGACGTTTTGGAGTCATCTCCCGGGTGTGAGACCCCTACCGTCCACAGCGCGGTGTCGCCCTCTTTCCAGATGCAACATGGATCTCCCAACTCCTGACCATTCGTCTGTCCGTCCTCGTCCGAGTCTGCTTCGCACAATTCCTTAGTCCACTCCATGCTGACTTCTTCAAAGGCGATACCGAAGACGTTCCGAGTCGTGTCTTCGCCAATTGTGTCTTCGTGTCCGAGTGCTTTGACGCCAGGAACGTTTTCACCATTCGGGATCCGTGACACGAATATCGGCATGGCTTGAGCACTAGGAGACAGCACGACACATCCTGTCGACGCTGCTAGAAGAGTAACAAACGACGTCTTCATGCTTGAATATGATGTGCCAGGCAGGACTCCGCAGCTTCGGGTGGAAAGCAAATACGAAAGTACTAAGCATGTGAAAGCAGTGAAGCTGAAATGTGGATCAGACTCGACGACGGTAGTCCTCAAAATGGAAAACGGAGCTCCTCGTTCGTTAATTTTAGTCACGTTGCCACTAGAGGGGATAAATAAAATTTTATTTTAAAAGCGCACCACCATGCCAAACAGCTCAGCAAGATTTCTGTAAATAGTATATTTCGAAGTACTAGATAAGGAGCAGTAATGAGACTGATGCTGTGCCAAACACCTGGTCTAACAAAGTAGTTAAATAAAATTAAGTTTAGTTAAATCTTCAACGTCAATCGAACTGTCTAAATGTACAAGCAAAACACAGTAGCACCTTACCCAATTAAATATCAAAACGCAATTCACACAGAGTACTTTTAAAAGTGTGTCGTCTGAGCTCGTTTATAGACACAGAATACCATATAACAGAATGCGGAACTCCCACTTACATAATATGTACTGGTATAATAAAATACAAGTACAGCTATGCACCCCGTTTCCGCGGGGGTGGATCATATAGTGTTTGCAAACACATCATAATTCAGATGAGAAATTCGAGGATATTTGGCAAAAGGAGCATTATGCCCGGAAAATTATCAAAGATCTGAGGGCGCGAAAATGTGGTACAGAACTGTATTATTACTGTTTAACATTTGTATAGCTACATGATGCAGCCATTTGTTTTGCCACAAGTATCGATACATGAAGAAGAATATCAAGTGCAGGCAAATTACTAGCTAGGTTTGTGTTCAACTGGAGTCCTAAGAATGTTAGTGGAACAGCCATGCGCAGATTCCTTAACGTACAATTCGCTTAAACTG